CCACAGGAGGTACGTTTAGGTGACCCCGAAACAGAGAGTGATAAATTGAAAAAAAGTCAGTTCTATCTTGTCCGTCTGTATTTTCTCAAGAGTTGTATGAAAGGACGAAAGTGTCCGGAAATCATAAATTGACTTTTACGATAACTAAACAAAGCGTGATGGAAAGCAAAGTTTCGACTATACGAGAACCTTTTTAGGATAGGTATGTTCAGTTCAATGTTAAAGACACTTCAAACCTAAAAGGTTATTGCTTCAGTATGTGCTGATTGCCTGAAGGGCTGTAAAATTAATGCAGCGTTTTTGGAATTCTATAGACTATTCAACTTGGAATAGCAGTAATAAAATAAACATGGGATAAACGACCCTTGAAGAGGCTATCCGAAAATATATGAGTGGACTGTAAACCAATGTATAACTAATTTAGAGGGTTACTTTTTTTTTCCTACAACATGGTTCTGATTCTAACATTATTTATTATATCTATTATACTATCATTTTCGCGACATCGCGAAACACATATTCCTCCCCCCGTTGAGAGGGCACCGATCAACAACTATTCAATGTTTGTGATTGCATGTGTGTGCGTGTATGTGCATGTATGTGCGTAACTAAATTACACATTGTAAGTTTCTGCGCCTTATGCAGATTGATCTGATTGGTTGGGCAGCGGGACGAGTCGTTTGATGCTCCGGTCCAGCGTACCCTTGGCTGTTTTGACGGTGACAGCTCGCACTATTCCATCTGTTCCTGGGTGAACCTTGATGACCTTGGCCAAGGGCCAATGCAGTGATGGAACGTTGTCCTCACGAAGTAGGACAATTGTGCCCTCTTTGATTGGATGGTCACCCTTGGTCCATTTGCTGCGTGTGGTCAGTTCGTTCAGGTACTCCCGGTGCCATCGAACCCAAAAATGTTGTTTTACTTTTTGGATTTGCTGCCAACTCGAGAGGCGGTTTGTAGGTATCTCTGTAACATTTTTCTCACGCAAACTGGTTAATGAATCGCCAATCAGGAAATGCCCTGGCGTAAGGACAAGCAAGTCGTTAGGGTCTGAGGATATAGGTGTCAATGGACGGGAGTTCAGAATGGCTTCAATTTCTATAATGAGAGTGTTAAAATTTTCGAATGTAAATAATTCGGATCCAGCAACCCGTTTCAGATGATATTTAAAAGACTTGACGGCTGCTTCCCACAGACCGCCGAAGTGTGGTGTCAGTGGAGGAATAAACTTCCATTCTATGGATTTGCCTGCCAGAAATGTTGTCAATTGGTTTTGATGTTCTTCTGAACGTAGCAATAGTTGTAATTCTTGCAATTCATGATTCGCTCCCACGAAGTTGGTCCCATTATCTGAGTATATGTAGGAGCAGAGTCCTCGTCGAGCAATAAACCTCTTCAGTGCAGCAATGAAGGCCTCGGTGGTTAAATCGCTGACCAATTCCAAATGAACTGCTTTGACGGCCAGGCAAACGAATACCGCAACGTAGACCTTTATCCGACCACGGTTTCGTTGCTTCCGTTCTTTTATGTAAAATGGTCCACAATAGTCTACACCTGTATGAGTGAATGGTCGAGACTCGGTGACTCTGGCGGCAGGTAGGTTACCCATTAGGTAGTTGACCGGTGGTGGTTGGGCCCGGCAACACCGTACGCAAGGTTTTATTGCTTTCCACACTTGTTGCCGGCCATCGATGGGCCAGTAGCGCCGTCTGACCGCGTAAAGGGTCGTCTGGGTACCTGTATGGAACTGTTTTCTGTGTTCGTCGTCGATGATAAGTAGGGTAATGCGGTTTTTGGGTAGAATGATGGGGTGTTTTTGTCCAAATGGCATTAAAGAATGTTTTAACCGGCCCCCGACACGTAGGATACCGTCAGAATCTATAAATGGATTTAATCTTCCCAATCTATTTTTTAAATGCGGATTTTTGCCTTTTGATAATTGTTCTAATTCATCTGAAAAATGGAGTTTCTGTACAAGTTTGATAATTGTATCATGGGCATATCTTAATTCTTTTGTTGTTAAGGGTCCTTTTGTATGATTGGTTGATTTCCATCGGAGGCACCAAGCAATCACCCGTACTAGCTTCTCCCAAGAAGAGAAACGATCCAGGAGACTGGTATCAGGAAGAGTTGTGGTTAAACAAACTATTTCCCGCTGTTCTAACGTCATGTTGCAAGGTGTGATTGTTGTGGTTGGCCATTGATCTTCGGTATTGTATAACCAATTAGGTCCAGTCTGCCATATCGACGGACGTAAAAAATCTTCGGGCAATAGTCCTCTAGAAATGAGATCAGCTGGGTTGTCTGAAGTAGAAACGTGTCGCCATTCTGTGATATTGGTTTGATTTTGAATTTCGGTTATCCTGTTTGCTACAAAGGTTTTTAGTAAATGTGGTGACGTCCTTATCCAATGAAGTACGATTGTGGAATCGGTCCAACATATTGTTCGGTTAATATTTATTTTCAAGGCCTTCTGAACTGTGGTAACTATTGAAGAAAGTAATAATGCTCCGCACAGTTCCAGTCGCGGTATGGATTGAGTTTTCAAAGGTGCAACTTTTGATTTCGCCATAAGGAGTTGTGTTTTGCATTGACCGTGTTTGTCCATGGAACGGAGATAAAGACAAGCGCCATATGCGCGTTCGCTAGCGTCACTGAAACCATGTAACTCCACTATACTAGGTTCATTGATCAAGGTTTGTCGGTTGAAAGCTACGTTGTTCAAAAGTGGTAATTGTTTATAATATTTCAACCATTCAGTATGTGTGTCCATAGGTAAAGATTCATCCCAGTCTAATTTTAAAGTCCATACTTTTTGCAGCATTATTTTTGCTAATATGATGACAGGTCCGAGCAGTCCTAGAGGGTCGTAGATTTTCGCGATGACGGAACTGATACTTCGTTTAGTGAAGGAATTTGTTAATGGCGAGTTTGTGATTGAATATCGGATTGTGTCGTCGCTTGAGTCCCAGAACACTCCCAAAGTTTTGATGGTTGATGATTCGCCCAGGTGTAGTCGTTTGTTAATGGATTGTTCTGGAAGGTTTTGAAGTAATGCCCTGTGATTGGAAGCCCACTGACGAATGTTTAATCCTGCAGTTTGTAAAATTTGTATCAATTGATTTTGTAACGTTAATGCTTCGTTGATCGTTGCTGTTCCAGTTAAAAGATCATCCACGTAGAAGTCTGTGATTAGAGTCTGTGCTGCTTGGGGAAATCGGTGTCTTTCGTCTTGAGCTAATTGTGATAGGCAACGGATTGCCAAATATGGAGCGGCAGAAAGTCCAAACGTGACTGTGTTTAATTGGAATGTTTTCGGGGTTTGATCTGAGGTTTGCCATAGAATCTGTTGGTATTTCCTGCCTTCAGGACGCACTAGGAATTGCCTGTACATTTTTTCAATATCGCCTGTTAACACATACTGATGATTCCGGAATCGAAGTAATATGTACAACAGGTCATCCTGTATCTTTGGACCGACATGTAACGTATCGTTCAAAGAAATGCCTGTAGAAGTTGCTGCGGAGCCATCAAACACAACCCTCAACTTGGTGGTATCACTAGTGATCTTAGTGACCCCATGATGCGGCAGGTAGTACATTCCGTCCTTTTCGTTATGAACTTGAGTTTCGGACATGTGACCTAAATCAAGGTATTCTTGTAATACTGCTCGGTATGCCCGCCCGTATTCTTCATCGCGTTTAAATCTTCCTTGTAAGGATGAAAATCTCTTCAAGGCTCGAGATTTAGATTCTCCTAATTGCGAAAGTTTGTCATTAAATGGAAGAGCCACCATATATCTACCCTCGGAAGTCCGTGATATAGTTTTCCTAAAATACTCTTCACATTCTCTGTCGGCCTTAGACAGATGTTGGATTTGGGGACCGTCTTCTAATTCCCAAAATCGGGCCAAATCAAGTTGTATTGGGGTAATAGCATGACAAGTGGTTTCCTTGGTCAATCGATGAGTTGGAGCACTTCCACCAATTATCCAACCTAATTGCGTTTTCTGCAGGTACAAATCTGGTCCATCAGGAGGTGATAATTTAATTTGTCCAATACTCAACAGTGATAGTGCTACTCCAGCACCTAATAATAAATCAACTGGAGCAGGTATTGAAAATTCTGGATCGGCCAATGTTAAATTGTTGGGAATTTTAAATAATGTTCTGTCGATAGGTTGGTCTGGTATGTTAGAAGCTATGTTTGGTATGGTCAAGAATGTTAAAGTCCGTCTATAGTTAGTGGTAATAGAAGTCAAGGTTGCCGTAATTGTGTTTTTTGCAATGGTAGACATTGTATTGATCACCCCGACAGGAATTGAACACCTGCCCAAAGGTATGCCCAACCTTTTGGCGAGGCGCTCGCTCATAAAATTCGTTGACGCACAGGTATCGATAAGAGTCCGACAACGAACCGGTTGATGATACTTGTCCAATACATAAACTTGTGCAGTTACCAGCAAATCATGAGTAATTGTATCAATAGTAAACGCTTTATGATATGTTATCTCCCGAGGTGTTTCAGTTGCTAGTCAAATTGTTTCTTGATTATCCATCGGTTGACGAGAAGTTGCTAATGCCGAAGTTGATGAACTCGTCAAAGGTGATCTATAGTGTAAAAGTGTATGGTGATTTTTCTGACATATTCGGCAAGCACCTTTATTACATGAAGTAGATCCATGTCCTCTTCGCAAACATTTGAAACAGAGTCCAGCTTTTATAACGATAGCTTTTCTATCGACAACAGATAGTTCATTAAATTTTCGACAGTTTCCGATCCAGTGATCCTTTTTACATAATGGACATTGAAAATCTATATATTGAGCCCGGGTCGTCGACACTCGTTCATAAGGATGATTCTTGTGTTGTTTCGTTGTTACGAAAACTTGTCCTCGCGATGATCGATGTTTATTAACAGATTTGTTATGGCCATAAAGTCGCATTTCTTGCTGTCCAGTTGAAGTTACAGATTTTGAGGAAGAAGGAATTGTGCAATTTGCTCGTCTTTCTATGAATTGTAATAATTCAGTGTAAGCTGGCATTCGTCTTTTATCTTTAAGCGTTAATTCCCAATGCCACACTGTATCCGCGTTTAGTTTGGAAATGATTATGGAGAGCAAAATGCTGTTCCATGATGCGACATTTTCGCCCAAATTTTTAAGTGCCCGGAGATGTTGATTTACGGTGTCCACCAAATTAGCTAATGCTTCTGGAGTATCTTTCAGCAATTTTGGGATATTCCGTAACGTATCGCAATGACTAAGAATTATACGGCGTGGGCAATCAAATTTCTCTTTTAAAATATCGATAGCATCCGTGTAATTCGCGTCAGTCGTGGCCAAAGCTTCAATACAACCCGCGGCCTTACCGCTTAAAGTTGACCGCAGGTACTGTAATTTTTGAACCGGGGTCAAATCCTCGTTACGATCGATCATGGCCGTAAATAGGTCGTAAAAAGATGACCAGTTTTCGATTGTTCCGTCGAACGTTGGTAGCCTCATTTCAGGTAATTTAATAGTCATCGGTGCCGGTACCGTTGATGCCGGTGACGGATTAACCCGAACCGTGGTAGGAACTGATGGTTGAGTATTATTTAAAATTCGCTTAGCCCGTGCTATCACAGCGTAATAATTATTCTGAATTTCAAACCGACGCGTTTCTTCAGATTCGTCGAGCTCTTCAATACTAAATTGCAAATCATCGAATTTTTTCCAGACTTCATTTAATCCGTTGATGTGCATTTCTAATAGGTACGTATCTTCGGAGTGTGTGTCTTCAAAATAATCCAAGAACGTAGTCAAAGATGAAATTTGCCCGATGATATGGCCGCGTTTGCGTCGTAAAGTACTGATACTCAGACCAGCGACTACGGACTGTGGTTGAGCGGAACTCGCGGAGGTGTTCGGCATTTTGAAGATGGTCAGGAATGACAATTACAAAAGATTGATCCTACCTTATCTGGTGGAGAACGTTTTATCCAGACTCGTTCACTTTCCGACTGCTTTAAAGTATGTGTCCTATTGCACTGTAATCCAATGTTTATTGCACACACTGTTATGTTCACTCCTGTTTATTTCACGTAACTGTGCACTAATGTTTGTGGTTACACGTCACTATTGTCAATATCCGGCTCGAAGGACCAATGTTTTTTAGCACGAAATTCGTAATGTTAATTTTTAAATTAATCACCGAACTGTCGCGCTTCCTTACTCCTGTTACGGAAATAAGGATAGTTGTTTGTATTTCGTTAAAAGTCTTTTATTTAGAGATGTGTTTTCATACAAGTGTTTATGTGGTTGAATCTAATCTTTAGATTGTATTTCAAACGGAAACTGAACTCAACTGATAGACTTCGCACGGAGAACGTATACTCGTTGTGATTGTAAGGCACATACGGAACATGGAAGACATAAGAGCGAACTGACTGGTTTTGGTTTTCTTGCAGACCAAGAAACCTCTATCTTAGAATTGTGATTAGCAACAGGGAGTTGGTCTAACGTGGGCGTCACCTAAGTTCCCAAAACCTGTGACTGAGAGCTAGCCTGGTCTAGCCCCTTTACCAACACGAAAGATACTTCCCTATGCGATTTGTCTTTGCAAGAACCTCCCTTTTAACATCTTGTACCAAATCAACTCTCTGCTCGTGTCTATCTTAAGACTGTGACTAGCAACAGGGAGTTGGTCTAACGTGGGCGTCACCTAAGGTTCCCAAAACCTGTGACTGAGGGCTAGCCTGGCCTAGCCCCTTTACCCATGATAGATACTTCCCTGCGCTATCTGGAAAAACCTGCGGCTGTGGTGCACGTGGGCAGCTGTTATTTTGCTAAGACCCGTTGACTTGGGACCCTGTCCTTGAAGTACGCATACTTCACAGACCGTGACACCACAGGAGGTACGTTTAGGTGACCCCGAAACAGAGA